GCTAGCAAGCCAATAGCTAGCTGCCACGTGTGCCTATATTAAGATCGGCCAATAATGTGGCGGAAATCTTAATACAAATGGCGGGAACTTCTTTTTACCGTGCATCACTATAATGCAAAAGAAATGCACGATGCAAAGAAGGCTACAAAACTGGCGGGAAAAACTCCTGCACGCGGGTTCTTAATTGCAACAGAACACTCCACCGTGCAAAAGAGCTGCAATTTAGCGGGAACACAATTTAGCGATGCTGAAGCACACACAAACAAGAAAATCACAACTTTGGGTTGTGACAGAGACCAACACCCTGAGGTAAGTAGGGAAGCAGGTGACCTGGAGGAAGCACAAGCAGGAAGGGGTAAAAAGGGAGGCTGTTTCAGTCTTCCTGGAAAGTAGAGCAATTGGGTAGTTATCTCTGGTGTCTGTACGTGAATGCATGGAGCCTGGGAAACAAACAGAAAGAACTGGAAGTCCTCACACTGCCATGGAATTATGATGTGATTGGAATAACAGAGACTTGGTGGGTTATCTTGAATAACTGGAGTACTGTCATGGATGGTGTAAATTGTTCAGGAAGGACAAGTAGTAGAGAAGAGGAGGAGGAGCTGCACCTTATGGAAAAGATCAGTATGATTGCTCAGAACTTTAGTATGAAACTGGAGAGAGGCCTTTTGAAGGTCTCTGGATTCGGGTCAGAGGAAAGAATAACAAGGGTGACATATTACTCTGGTTGTCTGCTATAGATGACCAGACCAGGAGGATGAAGTGGATGAGACTTTGTTCAGACAGGTAGTAGAAGTTCCCTGATTACAAGTCTTGGTTCTCATGGGGGACTTCAATCACCCTGACATCTTTTTTGGGGGGGGGGGGAGGGGTAATACACCGGTGCACAAGTAAGCTAGGAAGTTTTTGGAGAATGTTGGGTACAACCTCCTGCTGCAAGTATTGCAGAGGTGAAGTAAGAGCCATGCTGTTCTTGACGTGCTGCTCACAAACAGGGAAGACTTGACTGGGAATGTGGAAGTGGTTGGCTACATGGGCAGCAATGACCATGAGATGAATGCATTCAGGATCCTGAGGAAAGGAAGTAAGGTGAGCAACAAAGTAAAGACATGGCACTTCAGACAAGCAGACATTGACCCACTCGGGGAACTGAGGGGCAGGATCCCTGGGCAGGACAGTCTGAAGAAGAGGAGTCCAGGAGAGCTGGTTGTATTTGAAAGAAACCTTACAGGAGGCACAGGAATGAACCATCCCAGTGCACAGGCAGACTAGCAAGTATGGCAGAAGACCAGCTTGTCTCAGCCAGGAACTCTTCATTGAGTTAAAAGTCAAAAAGGAAGCTTATAAGAAGTGGAAACTTGGACAGATGACTAGGGAGGAGTATAGGAGTGTTGCTTGGGCATGCAAGGATGAATCAGTGTCAGATGGCGATGATTTATGGCTGTGGGCCCTGATAGCCTGGAGTCTTGGTGGAGTGGGCTGTGAGGAAGCTGAGAGTATTTAATGGTCACCCAGCTTGCTGTGCCTGCTTCTTGCCTGTTATGCCTTGATGTCAATAAATTTGTCAGAAGGTAGATTGTAGGCAGAGTGATGATAATCCTCTGGGGCTTTTTGTGGGGCTCCTCCTGCCCTCACACCCCACCCTTACCTTGTCCTATGCTCACTAGAGCCAATACACTGTTGGCCACTCTGGATGTCACATGCACTCAATTGATTTCCATATAAGAGAAATCAAAGGGAAAATAACTACTAAAATCAGCCTTCAATTTAAGACTTGTCCTAACTGACTTTAGGTTAGCCCACTCAAAGTCAGTCCACTAGCTTCTAGGGCTCTGTAATTCTACATCAACAGTTCCTATCAGCTTCCCCCAGCAGTTCATTGGATAAAACAATCAGTCCA